GACGAAAGAGGGGGAGGCCTTCAACGAGATGGATTGACATGGTGGCTGCGATGATGGGCTCAAGTATAGCAGGGATTGTGGAGCTGGTGTGGGATCAGGCAGTGTTTCATTCTTCTGTGCATGGGGTCGCTATGAGTCAGAAACCACTCGATGGAACCTAACAACAACAACAACAACAACAACAACTCCATAGAAATGATTGGGAGGATTAAATGAGTTCATATATAAAAATAACATTAGGAGAGTATCTGGTGCAAACTAAGCACTAGACTAAGCATATCAGTTATTTCAAGCAACAGTGGCAGTCTTACAGGGTTTCATTGAAGAAAGTTTGATGGAGGAACTATTTACTAAATTGGGGCAGGATGAGAGGGGTCAACAATTGCAGCCAGGGTCCGTGAACGGCTGCAGGATTCCTAGGTCTGAGTAAGGCAAGCCCTGTGATGCAGGCTGGGCATTTGAAAGGCAGCCCGCTTACAAGGATGCTTGAGACTTTGAATTGCCTTGCCCTAGAAGTCTAGTTATTTGGTGTCTGTCCTGCTATGTGAGTGTTGGGGATAAGAGGTCAGAGGTTATGATCATTGGACAAGAGCATAGTGGGGAGCAGGCCAGGGCAGCTCAAGCTGTTATTTGCCAATATAATAGCTTGGCGTCGCCTTCTCAGGCAATATTGCTTCTCTTCAAGGGGCAGGGCTGAGATGGAGAGAATTTTGAAGACGGAGTATGGTGTTGGAGGCTGGCCTCTGAAGCCGTAACATCCCTTTAATTCTCAGGCATCTTGCCTGGCACTGAGCTTGGCTAGAACTTAGAAAACACTTTCTGAGTCTCCCTCAGCAGCCCTGATTTCAATAGATAGTATCTTTTTCTATAAAGACTTATAAAGTATACATTTAAAGGAAACTGAATATTTATATATTTGTAGGACTTTTCACAGGAATATAGTCATATCCATTCATTTGATATTCATTCAACAAATATTTGAGTGTTTATTGTGTGTAAAGCACACTGTTCTGGACATTTGGAATGTATCCATGCAGAAAACAGAAAAATATCTTTGCTTTGTGGACCTTACCTGCTAGTATGTAAGGAACAATTCTTTGTTAGACTCCAGGAACAAATGTGGGGTTTGAAATTTTTTTTTTTTTTTTAAATTATGATTTGGTTGCAAATTTACAAAGCAGACTTGTTTTACTCTCAATAGTTCATGCACATTTGATTTCATGGCCCCAAAAAGAGTCCCCAACCATAAAAAAACTCTCTTCCCCTCGCCTCTCTGTGACTACTCTTCCCTGTGCTGTTCTTATTTATGCATCCTGTCTGTCCAGCTTTCCCTCTGTGTGAATACTGCCCTTCTGATGTCTCATGGCTGATTGATCTATGGGGTGCATCTCTCTAGGGTAGGTGTTCTGCTTGTAGGTCTTTCTACTGTTGGGCTGAGAGCTAATCTACGGAAGTGAGTCCATTTCTAGGCCCAAAGGATAACCTGGGACCATAGTCTTGGGGGTTCTACCAATCTCTATCTGACCAGTAATTCTGGTCATTTTTGTGTTTTTGAATTTTGTCCCACATTTATCCCCACACTCTATCCAGGATCTCCATTTTTTTATCCCTTTCTGAGTGGTTGGCATTGGTGGTGGGGCATCATCTAGTTCTTCCGGTACTAAGGGCTGTGAAGGCTGAGGTCCTCGTAGTCCATCATATCTTTGGACTAATTGTTTCCAAATTTTGATTTTCTTTACTCTTCTTTGATCCAGACAAAAGGAGGCCAATAATTGCATCTTAGATGGCCGCTCAAAAGCTTTTAAGACTCTAGTCACTACTCATCAAAGTAGGATGTAGAACAAGATTTTTATGTACTATGTTGTGCCAATTGAGCGTCATGTACCCTGAGACTATGGTCCTGAGCCTGCAGGCCTGGTGATTCTCTCCCTCAAGGTGTTTGGTTGTCTCTGAGAAGCTATTCCAACCTTGTTCTTTGTTACTTCTGTGATGTATGTGGATAATTTTGTAGCACAAATACATAAGTAAGACTGTTGTCAGCCAAATCTATCCCTGATCTTGGCTATATTCCTGTTTACTTACCCCCACCTGATATTCCCATCTGTCTATGCATTTACCCATAGTCTGGTGTTTGTTCACACTGGTAATGAAATTCTGTGCATATAATAGTATTTGCCTCTGTTTGTATCTTTTGTGCATGTTTCTGTAGCCTCCTTTTCCCCATTGTCTGGTCACACCTCTTACCATACTGCCCCTCCCCTCACACAAATCAACATGTGACCCCCAACTAGTATGAAAATTTCCCCTCCCTTCCCCAGTAACCAACAAAGTGAATTTCCTTCCCTGAGTAAACCTTTCCTTGACTTTTTACAATACTGGACTCATACAATATTTGTCATTCTGTGATTGACTTATTTCACTCAGCATAATGTCCTCTAAATTCATCCACATTGTGAGGTGATTTGTATATTCTTCATTATTCTTTAATGTTGCATAGTATTCCACTGTGTGAATGTACCATAGTTTGTTTATCCACTCATCTGTTGATGGGAACTTAGGTTGTTTCTATCTCTGTGCTATAGTGAATTGTGCTGTGACGAGCATGAGTGTGCATATGTCTATTCGTGTCCTGCCTCTCACCTCTTTAGGATATATTCCTAGTAATGGAATTTCTGGATTAAATAGTATTTCTGTTTTCAATTTTTTAAGGAAATGCCATACTATTTTCCACAGTGGCTATACCATTTTACAGTCCCACCAGCAGTGTATGAGAGTTCCAATCTCTCCACACCCTCGCCAGCATTTGTTATTTTCTGTCTTATTGAATTTTGCTATTATTGCTGAGGTGAGATGATATCTAATTGTTGTTTTGATATGTATCTCTAATAGCTAATAATTGTTAGCAGGAAAAATGGTTTCTTGATAGGAACCTTGACTAGGAGGAATTAGTAAAATTTCTTAAGGTTGTAGCAGTTGCCCAAGTTGTGACTTTGGCACTCCCTGTTTATATCCCTACCAGTAAATACCCCAGGATGTTACAGTCATGAATTGGCCTTAGGGACATTGTGGTCATGGGGAATTGGGAGACCATGTTCCATTCTGTGGTGAGGGAGAGGGTTTGGGGAGAAGCATCTTGCCCCAAGACTAGAGTGTATGGTGCAGAGTTAATAGGGGCTAAGAAAAGCAGGGTATACAGAGTCTCGGAAGGAAGGTTGGGCAATCCTACTTCTGTAGTGATACTGCCTCGGAAACCCAAGGAGGGGTCGCTATGAGTTGGGCAGACTCGATGGCATATAACAACAACAACAACAACAGAGTCTCTCAAGTCTTTAAGAAGGAGAAATGTGGCACTCAAGTTACCTACCAGAGAAAGGATTGCCCCCCTCCCATAGTCTGAATAGTCTCAGGGTCCCTAACTATGTAACTCATAGTTCCTGTCCATGCAGATCTAGGAAAGTATAAAACAGCAGATATATCTGGTTAAGTGCTAAAACAAGAGATTCAGAGAGACATGTGTGTTGAGACACTGGACTGAAACTGGCTCCTTTGTGAACTTGGGGATCATTTCCTCCCTCAGAACTTAAGATGTTCCCTGGTGAAACTGAAAGACGGAGGACTGAGCTAGATGAACTCTATGGACCTTCTGGCTAGATGATATAGGCCATAGGTTGCAAACTCATGTCCACAGGATCCAGACAGGTAATATAAATGGATGAGTTGGCCTCAGAGGGACTGGATCAAACTCACTTAAAAGGATAAGCTTATAATAAGCTCCAGCAAAGGGTTTTTATGCAGAAATGTGGGCTCAGTGTCGCCAGATCAGGAGGTAATATTTTAGAAATCAGAGATCTGGAATTTTATAGAATTCTTCCAATTTGCATATTAGCAAAAAACAAAACCAAAACTCCAAAACAAAGCAAAATACCCTGGGCTGTGTTTGGGTTTAAGTTCATTCTAAAGTGGCAGGAGCCACTGGATACAGAAAAGGGGCTGGGGGCTGGGGAAGTTGGGGTGTGCCTCACATACAAGGTGGAGTTTTACTACAACCCGAAGGCTGGGAAGTATTTAGATGGTAAGTTGGAAGAAAAAGGACATCTTCTGCAGAAAGAATTACATGGGCAAAAACATAGAGGTTGGAGTGGACTTGGGTGTGGGATCCAAGAACAATTGGAGGACAGATCAGGTTTTGGGGGATGGGTGGCTTCCAAGTAGACTAAATTCAGTTTTAAATCTCTTGGTCTATCTATTCCATCCTCTTCCAGTGTTTGAATCCTCTGTAAAACATTCTATCAACCGTTATTCAGCTTAGGCTTGGGTCACCTTCCATCAAGGGAACTTAATCACCTCTGGTCATGTCTCAGATGCATCCAGTGTTGGAGGTGAAGAGGGGAGGAAGAATAATCAGATTATCTGAGTTCTGATACAAGCTATCCCAACTACTACCTGAGTGACCCTTGGCAAGGTATTTCACTTCTCTCTGTATCTATTTCATGAGACTGCTGGGAGGTTTAAGGGGGATCATGCATTGACTATGCAATTTACATGGCTGCAGGTATGTCCTCCCGATGCCTTTTCTCAGGTTTGTGACATAGGAACACTTTCTGAGTACATGGACTCAGAAACATCCCAGCAGAAAGAGTACAGGTATTGAGACCCCTTAAGTCCACCTCACAGCCTTTGCTTGAACTCTACATCTATTCATCCAGCTGGTCTTGATGGGAAAGGCCCCACGTAGAGGATGGGTGTCAATTTTCATTGTTTCCTGCCCAGGGGTCCAGCTTATCGTGGGCATGCTGTCTGAGAAGCCAAGGTCTGGAAACCCTGCTGAGGTGGCGGCATGTGAGCGAGTCCAGCAGAAAGCTGCAGTTACCCTGGCCCGTCTCAGCCGAGACCCAGATGTGGCACGAGAGGCTGTGAGGCTGAGCTGTAAGTGGTGCTGGCTATGGCTGCAGTGGAGAGGGGAGGCTGGGGGTGGGAAGGAGAACAGAGAAAGGGCTGACTGGGGTGAGCCCCACTTTCTGGAAGCTGGAAAATGCAACTGAGGCCTGGCTGGAATGGAAGCCCTGGGTGTAGCTTCAAGTCTAGCTTATAGCCAGGACTGAAGCAAGAGAGAGCGAAGGCCTGAAGAAGTTAAAGTTGGTCAAAACAGTGACTTTCCATTAATTAGGGTCCCAATCTTTCTTCACTCAATCATCGACTCATTCAGTTATTCATTTACTCTTTCATTCTTTAGTCATCCCTTTGTTAATTCATTAATTAGCCTATTCATCACTTCATTTATTCATTAATAATTCATTAATTAATTGTATTATTCATTAAATCACTCATTTGGTCATTCAGCCATTTATTTATCTAACAAATATGTTCAGGGCACCCATTTTATGCTAGGCTGTGTTGTATCTGAGTGTTAGGCATGCAACCCTGAATATAACATTGTTCCTGACTATAGTGGCTCACAGACTAATGAAGGTGTCAGATATGGAAACAAATATTTGCACTTGAGTATCACAGGAGCTATGCAAAGCATTGTATGGCCCACAGGACCACAGGAAGTAGCCCACCTTTTACCTGGGGAAAAATGGGGTTAAAGAATGTTTTAAGAAGGAAGTAAGCCTTCTGCTGTAGTTTGAAGGGTAAGAAGGAGTTGTTCAGGTATGCAGACTGGGAAAGAGTGCTCTAGGTAGAGGTATGAGGAAAGGTATGGCACTCTCCCCAATCCTCTGGGTACCCTGAGGGACAGCAAGAAGCAGCAGAGGGCTCCAGGACAGCAGAGGGCTTTATGGAGGGTAAACATACAGAAAATATCTAGCATCTTTTTATTTTTTTAAGTCAATACAGTGGTACGTTTATTGGTAATGTAACTTTATGACCTGCATAAACAGAAAAAAAGTCAAACAATAAGACCCAGAAATGACTGAATATGAGAAAATATAGATAATTTTAATACGTTTGATTCTTTAAGAATCAAACTTATGGTCAAATTAGAAGTGTATGTATAACATTAGGTGAAATAATTTTCACTATAGTTTCATTGTCTGAAGCCCAATATATCATTCCCAATATCTAGTAGTACACTCAACTTCCTCTCTCAGGACTGTCACTTAAATGGGCCGTGGAGTAT